CTATCCCTGTTTCATGGGGCTGTTTGGGCATGCCTACAATGAAGCTCTACTTAATTTATCATCATAATATTGAGGAAACTGAGACTGGGTTCTGAAAGGCTATGGTATTAGATTAACAACTCGGCTAGGTTTTATAAAGCTGAAAAGCTGTTGAGACTAATTCAGCGATGGACTATATGCACATCTTCAAAAGTCCAGCCTGGTATATTGCAGAAAGGCCCAATAACAATTTGACCACAAAAGGCTGAAGTTTCTGGCCATAACATTTGACAAAGACAATGTACTAGTAGATTATTTAATAATAGATGATATTTATATCACATTTTAAAATTTGCAAAGTACTACATGTACATTATTTTATCTTACTCTCACAATAACTTTGTGAGACAGGTGTCATTGTTATATCACCTATTTTACAGGAGATGAAATAAATCATAGGATTATAGAGAGTTGCAGTTGGAAAAATTCTCAGAGATAATCTAGTACAATCCCTCCACCTACTTTGAAGATGAGGATACTGAAGTTCAGGCAAATTAAATGTTAGAAATGAGATTCAAACCCAGGTCTTATGACTTGAAAACCATTGGTCATCACATTGTACAATGCTGACTTGCCCAGAATCACACAGGAATAAATAGAGGAATTAATGAACTAGCATTTAAATGTTCATTGTCTGCCAAGCACTAACCTAGGCCACCCTAGGGCTCAGTCTTCTGATTAATGAAACCCTATCTTTGATACCATTTCCTGAGGAGGCCCAGCCACGTTCACTCCACTCTTGATACTCCCTCCACTCTTGGTTGAATTCACTCTCCATATTTCTTCACCGACTTCTTAACAGCATTATCCCACTCTTCTTCCAGCTTCCCTCTATTTGTTGTCTTCCTCTGTTAGGTAGTAAAAGCTTTGAAGATACTCCATTGTTTTTGTCTGTAGTCCCAACATGTAAAACAGTGCCTCACACATAGTAAATACTTTATAAACGTTTTATCTACCTTTTTCTCTATTTATCTGGCTACATATCTATCATCTATCTGTCATCTTTCTTTATCTCTTCTTTTTTTTTCTTTCTCCTTTTCTTTCTTTCATTCAAAAGGCATAGCACAGTGCCTGATACTATTAGACACTAAATAAATTAGTTACACTCTTCACTTTTTCTTTCCCCTAGCTGTCTAATTAACTAAGTATGCAGGATACAGATATAAAACTGATACAGTTCCTGCCCTAAAAGAGCTTCCACTCTAATTGGCTGAGACAACACCTATAGGAGAGTCATGGGCATTCTGGTAAAGCAGTGTTTTGGTTACAAAAGTCACAGAGATTGGGAATGGAGTGATAAGTGAATTGATTGACATTTGTTTTCATGTATAGAAATGTCAGTCTTGAATGAAATATGATATCAAATCTGGAAAGGCAAATAGGTTGGAGAGTGAACCAGATACAATGTGGAAGTATGGCTGAAGTAAGCTAGATATAGTATAGCACATTCACTGCCAGGATAGCATGAGGCTCCTGGTGGGAGATCCAGAGCTGAATGCTGAGGTTGAAACCTTAGTGTTCCTGCCTCTAAATCCAGCACTATATCCACTACATCATGCCGCCTCCCAAAGCATAAAAGGGTTATTCTCTAGGGGAAGATACACACATAAAATCATGGATCCTTAATATATTAATTCATTGACTATATTAGGCAAAATATATTGACTTGAGAGAACTTGGAGGCATGTGTGCCTGAAAGTGTCTTCTATGAGAATTTGTGAAAAGTTTATAGGAGGCAATGTATATGGGTTTTCTGGCAATGACTACAACTTTATTTATGATTTAATTTACCTTTGTAAGGCCTTTAAGTGTATTAATTTGAACTTTAAAACATTACCAATTACTAATTCAGATCTCTAAATGAAGAATCATCAGCTCATTTCACTTTATATAATGGGATCATTTTGTCATTTTAGAATGAGGTTTTCTGAATGTTTCTTAATATAGTCTAATACAAGGCTCTGTTGCCTCAGTGTTAACTCACTATGTATAACATCTCAATTTTTTTTTCTGAATTAAACACAATATTGGCCAATAGGGGGATGGAAATACAATTTCATAAATTTCTCACCATCAGCTTTTTTTCAAGCTTCAAATGTCAAAATTGTCAAATGGTCAAGTTGTCTTGTTATGACTATACACATTATCCTCCCCTTTCTCTTCCTTGAAGATAGATGACATTGAGAAAAGTCTAACAGGATAGTAGTATAAGTGTAGGGGTGAGGGTGAAGGAGAAATGGCAGCAGTAGTGGAGAGATAATCCCACTCCTGTTGAGTCAGGATATGAAACCCATAGTTAATGTTATTCTGAGAAAATAACTGGGTTAGGAGTCAAGAAGTCACCAAACCCTTCCTGTTTCAGGGCAATGCCGGCCTGATTAGTGAGTGTCTACTAGATCTATCTGGCACCAAAACCAACCATGCTTCTTTATCCCAGACTTTATGAATACACTTGTACTTCTTGCTTTTAGAACTAATATTAGATCAACACAACTTTTGCTTTTAGAAAAGGCATATAACCCAATTGTCCTATTGTTGTATTCACTAAACAAGTGACTTCCAAGACCAAAATACCCATTCCTCATGACCGCTCAGCTCAATGTTTTGTTTCTCCCCTTTGGAATGTTGGCTCCTGAAAATCAAGAACCATCTCATTGGTTTTTCACTTACTTATGTATCTACAGGAATCATTTTAGCATCTGATGATAGCACTTAATTTTTTTTCATCTATACATCCCAGGCAGTATTTTAGGTCATGAGGGGTGGTACATAGTAGTTTATGTTATGTTCCATCATACAGAAATTTAATTTTTATTGGTTCTCTATTTTGTGTCCCACTCTCTTCTCACTACCTTAGCTCAAAGACTATTCTTTTCACTATAACTATTCTTAAAATATCCTAACTAGACTTTATCCCTCTAATCTATTCCTTGTCCAAACCATCTTTTATATTACTGTCAAAATAATCTTTCTAAAGCTCCACTGCCCACTCTCGTTACCACTCTTTCTGCTCAGAAGTATTTAATGATTCCATATTCCTTACCAAATAGTATATCAACTCCTGATGTTAACACTTAAAGTATTCCATAATTTGAATATCCAGCGTTTCCAATCTTATCTCATACTATTACCTTCTTTTCCTGTTTTCTAAACTTGATTTCTCTTTTCCATCTTTTTTTCATATTTCCTCATTTATTTTGATGCCTTTGTTCATATAGTTCTTTATTCTTACAATAGATTACCATCTTTCCCTTAATAGCTATCTATTAAAATCACTCTCTTCCCTCAAGATCCAATTCAGGAACCATATAGTTGATGAACATTTCTCTGAACCACTCAGTGGAAATCTACTCATCTCTCTTCAAATTTATCTTTATGCTTTCCCTGAGCCATCTATTGGTACTTATACTTTTTCCCTGTATTATAGATACATGTGTATGAGCCCTTTTCCATGTTTTATTTAAGTTCCTGAAAAGTAGACTCCTTCTAAAAAAAATCGACTTTTCAGCAAATACTTTTGTCAAGTTAAATTGTCAAAGAGGAAAGATACCATGTATATATGGAAAGTTAAATTGTAACACAAGGCACCATATATTTGTCAAATGAATAATACACATAGTTAGTGCTGGAGATGCTTAGCAGAAAAACCCGACTGTAAAGGAAATAACATTGTGCTTGGAATCAAAGAATCTAGGATTTATTCCTGGACTTTAGAAAGTCATTCCTGATGGTCAGGGCCAAGGTGGCAAAGTAAAGGCATAGATTCACTTGAGCTTTCCCAAATTCTCCTCTAAACAATGTTAAAGTCATGCCTTAAAATATATTCTGGAGTGGCAGTACTAAGAAAAGGCCAGGTCAAAAAAATGTTCCAGCCCAAGACAACTTAGAATATTGATAGGGAAAATTTGTCTCACTGGGGTGAGAGTAGAGCACAGTACAGAATAGACCACATCAGTGTAGGCCATATCCAATAAGCCAACATCAGGCCTTGGGTGTGATTGAATTGATGGCAGCAACTTCAGGAGCTCTCAGGCCACAGACTACAAGGGGGTTGTACAACTGTTTAGAAGGAAATTATAGAGGATCCTTTGCTGGCACCGGGAGCAGAATGCTATTACATCACCCATTCACAGTTCTGGGTTGAAGTCCTAGGGCAAGTAAGAACAATAGCAAGAGCTAGGATCCTAGCCAGAGTTCTAAAATAGAAAAGAGTGCTTGTGGTCACTCATAGACCACAGCACAAAACAGCAAGGAGTGACCACAGATCTCCTTACATTACACCACCTCAAAGGAACTGAAAACTTATAAATTCCCAGAACTAGATTTGAAGACAGCAACAAGAAATACCTGAAGCTTGTGACAGTGCTTCTTTGACTCAAAAAAACAGAGCTCAACTTTAATATAAAGTTAAAAATCAAGAAACGGCTAGAAATTTTGCAAACAACAAAAGATGTTGATCATAGAGAGTTACTATGGTGACAGGGCAGATCAGAACAAACTCAGAAGAAGACAATAAAATCAAAACAACTACATACCAAACCTCAAAGTAAAATGTGAATTGGTTTCAGCATTTGGAAGAGCTCAAACATGATTAAAAATTAAATAAAAGAGGCAAATGAAAATTGAGAATAGAAATGAGAGTGATGCAAAAAAAAAATCACAAAAGAATAGTCAATAGCTTGGTAAAGGACACACAATAAATACTAGGGGAAAATCACCTTTAAAAAAGAGAGAATAATCCAAATGGTAAGAGGCACAAAGATCCACCAAAGAGAAACTCTTAAAAAAACATAATTGGCCAAATTGGGGTGTGAGCAAGGCACAAAAATTCACCGAAAAAAAAAATTACTTCAGAAGTAGAATTGCTCAAATGCAAAAGGAATTACAAAAGCTCACTGCAGAAAATAATTCTTTGAAAATTAGAATTCTGGGCTGTCCCAGAACACCTCGCAATTACGGCCATGCTCGGCACTTTGGGCCGCTTGGGACGCTCGGTCAGGCCTCTGGTCCTGGCTCCTTCTTTACCACTATTGCTACCGTCCACACTGAGCCGTAAGAGTCGCCATGACCCGCCCTCCAAGTCCAAAATCTGGCGCTTGCGAACCCCAACCCCCGTAGACCCCGCCGAGATGGACATGCTAATGGAGCATTATAAGAGTTATAAACAGACTGCACAAGCACTCAGTTTGATATCACTCAGGAGGCCCGGGGAAGAAAGGGGATGGTCCCTGGATTTGACTTTTGATGCCAAATTTCTGAATCCCAGGCTTGAGTTCATGGAAGAGGTTTGGAGAAAAGCACATGAGAAGAAGTTTGGAGGCCTGAAAACTGTACAGGATTTTGAGGAACACAAGCAGCTCCTTGCCCGGAACCAAGTGGAGAACGCTCGGTTTCCGGCGCTGAGGATCTCAAGGCTTCAGCAGCAGGAGCAGGAGTGGCTGGGGGAGCTGGAGGAGATGCAGAAAGCACAGGAAATGGAAGCTTTTGTCCAAGAGAAGGAGAAAGAAGTGCTACAATTGCAGGAAGATGGGAAAACATTACTCAGGATACCTTAGAGGAGAAGACTGAAGCTGCCCTTGACAATCCCAAAACTACAATTGGGCCCTTAGCAAGGAGGGCCACGTGATTCGACCGCCTGGTGGGACATGAGGGGGCCAAGAGCAGTCATTGTCAGGGCCCTGGAAAGCTGGAGCTCTTATCTGTCTCCTTCACCCCACCACCCATTCCAGGCTTTCTCTGGCCTCTTTGCTCCTTACTGATAATTAAGGAATAAGCAGGTACAGAATAAAGGGATGATGCCTCTTTAAAAAAAAAAAATTAGAATTGTGCAAGCAGAAGGTAATGACTCCATGAGATCTCAAGAAATAATAAAACAAAATCAAAATAATGAAAAAAATGGAATAAAATGTGAAATATTTCGTTAGAAAAAAACAACTGAACTGGACAATAGAGGAGATATGATTTAAGAGTTACTGGACTACCTGAAAGCCATGATAAAAAAAAAAAAACATCTAAACATCATATCAAAGAAAATATAAAGAAAATATGTGTCTTTATGTCTCTTTTATATGAGATAATTTCCCCATTCTTCCTTTCCATTTCCCCTTCTCCTAATGCATCTCTTATCCATTATTTTTATTTTATTTTATTTCATATCTTCTCATCACACTCAACTCGCTCCTGTTCTTTCTGTCTATATATAGCCCTTCTAACTGATCTAATAACAGTAAAGGTTTGGGAGTTACAAGTATCTTCTTCTCATGTGAGAATGTAAACAGTTTATCCTTAATTAACCCCTTATGATTTCTCTTTCTTGTTTACCTTTTTTATGATTCCTTTGAGTTTTCTATTTGAAAATCAAATTTCTTGTCCAGCTCTGGTCTTTTCATCAGAGATACTTGAAAGTCTTTTATTTCATTAAACAAAGAAAATATAAATCAAAGAAAATATAAATTAAAAGAATCTGTCAATCACCTCCTGAAAGAGATCTCAAAATGAAAACTTCTAGGAATATTATGGTCAAATTCCTGGGCTCTAAAGTCAAATAAAAAATACCACAAGCAACCAAAAAGAGACATAGTCAAGATAATGCAACATTTAGCAGCTTCTTCATTAAAGGACATGAGTGATGGGAATATGATTCTCCAGAGGGCAAAAGAGCTAGCATTACAACCAAGAATCACCTATACAGATATACTGAATATAATCCTTCAAGGGAAAATGGGTGTTTAATGAAATAAAAGACTTTCAAGTATCCCTGATGAAAAGACCAGAGCTGAACAAGAAATTTGATTTTCAAATAGAAAACTCAAAGGAATCATAAAAAAGGCAAACAGGAAAGAGAAATCATAAGGGGTTAATTAAGGTTAAACTGTTTACATTCTCACATGAGAAGAAGATACTTGTAACTCCCAAACCTTTATTATTATTAGATCAGTTAGAAGGGCTATATATAGGCAGAAAGAACAGGAGCGAGTTGAGTGTGATGAGAAGATATGAAATAAAATAAAATAAAAATAATGGATAAGAGATGCATTAGGAGAAGGGGAAATGGAGAGGTAGAATGGGGAAATTATCTCATATAAAAGAGATACAAAAGAACTTTTACATTGGAAAGTGGGGTAGACAGCACTTGACCTTCCTCCCATCAGAATAGGCATTTGAAAGAAATAAAACTCTTTTGAGGAGGTACAGGGTGAAAGGAGAGAGAGATAAACAGAGACAGAGAGAGAAATGGAAGGAAATATGTAACTTGTATTCATAACTGTAAATGTGAATGGGATAACTTCACCCATAAAATGGAAGTGTATAGCAGAATGGATTAAAAAAGAGAATCCTACGATATGTTGATTACAAGAAACCCACTTGAAGCACAGAGAGAAACACGGAGAATAAAGATAAAAGACTGAAGCATAATCTATTATGCTTCAGCTGAAGTGGAAAAAAAAAACATAAGGGGTAGAAATCATGATCTCAGACAAATCAAAAGCAAAAGTGGATTTAATTAAAAGAGATGTGCAGGGAAACAGCATTTTGTTAAAAGGCTCCATAGTTAATGAGGTAATATCAATATGCACCAAATGATATGGCACCTAGATTCTTTTTTTTCCTTAATTTTCTTTTTTCTTTTTTTTATTTTATTAATTTGTTTATTTTTAGTTTTCAACATTCACTTTTTTGGGGCTAGGCAATGGGGTGAAGTGACTTGCCCAGGGTCACACAGCTAGTCAGTGTTATGTGTCTGAGGCCAGGTTTGAACTCAGGTCCTCCTGTATCCAGGGCTGGTGCTCTATCCACTGTTCCACCTAGCTGCCCACTAACATTAACTTTTATAATATTTTAAGGACAGATTTTTCTCCCTCAATCAGCTACTCCTTCCTTAAGACAGCATGCAATCTGATAGAGGCTATAGATGTACAATTACATTAAACATATTTCCACATTAGTCATGTTCTAAAGAAGAATCAGAATAAAAGAGAAAACCTACAAGAAAGGAAAAAAAAAAACTAAAAAAGAGAGAAAGTAATATGCTTCAATCTGCATTTGGACTACATAGTTCTTTCTCTGGATGTGGATAGCATTTTCCATCATAAGCCTTTTGCAATTGTCTTAGATAATTGCATTACTGAGAAGAGCCAAGTCTATTAACGTTGGTCATCACACAGTGTTGCTGTCAGGGTGTACAGTGTTCTCCTGGTTCTGCTCATTTCACTCAGCAACAGCTCATGTAAGTCTTTCAAAGTTGTTTTTTTTTGTTTGTTTGTTTGTTTGTTTGTTTGTTTGTTTGTTTTACTGAAATCCACTTGCATAGCATTTCTTATGGAACAATAGTATTTCATTACATTCATATACCGCAACTTGTTCAGCCATTACTCTATTAATAGGCATCATCTCAGTTTCCAATTCTTTCCCCCTCAAAAAAACTGCAATAAATATTTTTGTACATGTGGGTCCTTTTCCCTTTTTATGATCTCTTTGGGACACAGACCTAGTAGTGGTATTGCAGAATCAAAGGGCATGCACAGTTTTACAGCTCTTTGGGTATACTTCAAAATTCCTCTTCAGAATAGTTGGATGAGGGACAGCTAGGTGTCATAATGGATAGAACATCAGCCCTAGAGTCAGGAGGGCCTGAGATCACATCCTGTTTCACACACTTCATACTTATTAGGTGTGTGACCCTGGGCAAGTCACTTAACCCCATTGCCTAGCAAAAAAAAGAAAAAAAAGGAAAAGAAAAACAAATCAAAATAGTTGGATCAGTTCACAACTCTACCAACAATGCATTAGTTTTCCAATTTTCAAAGAGAAGACCTCCAACATTTATTATTTTCCTGTTTTGTCCTGTTAGTCAATCTGGTAGGTGTGATGTGCTACCTTACACATTAAACACAATATTAAAAAGTTGTTTTAATTTGCATTTTTCTAATCAACAATGATTTAGAGCATTTTTTCATGTGACTATAGATAGTTTTAATTTCTTCATCTGAGAACTGGATGTTCATATCCTTTGTCCATTTTTCAATTGGGAAATGACTTGTATTCTTATAAATTTGACACCATTCTCTATGTATTTTAGAAATGAGGGCTTTATCAGAGACATTGGGAACTGTTTCCCTGCTTTCTGCTTCCCTTCTAATCTTGGTTGCATTGGCTTTGTGCAGTTTGTTTTTTTTTTAATTTAATGTAATCAAATTTATCTATTTTGCATTTCATAATGTTTCCTATATCTTGTTTGGTCATAAATTCATCATTTCTCCATAGATCTGACAGATAAACCATGAATTGCTCTCTTAATTAGCTTATAGTGTCAGCCTTTATGTCTAAATCATGTACCCATTTTGACTTTATCTTGGTGTAGGGTGAAAGGTGTTGGTCTATGCCTAATTTCAGCCATAATATTTTCCAGTTTGCCCAGTATTTTTTGGTCAAATAGTGAGTTTTTATTACAGAAGCTGGAGTCTTTGGGTTTATCAAACAGTAGATTATAATAGTCATTGACTACTGTGTCTTGTGTACCTAATCTATTCCACTGATCCACTATTCTATTTCTTAGCCAGTACCAAGTAGTTTTGATTGCTGCTTTACAATGCAGATTTAAGATCTGATAAGCGAGGCCACCTATCTTTGTCTTTCTTTTCTTTAATTCTCTTGATATTCTCAGCCTTTTGTTCTTCTAGGTAAATTTTGTTATTATTTTTTTCTAGTTTTATAAAATATATTTTTTGTAGTGTGATTGTATGGCATTGAATAAGTAAATTAATTTAGCTATAATTGTCATTTGTATTATATTACCTCAGCCTACCCATGAGCAACTGATATTTTTCCAATTATTTAGATCTGATTTTATTTCTGTGAAAAGTGTTTTGTAATTGTGTTCATATAGTTCCTAGTTTTGTTTTGGCAGGTAAACTCCCAAATATTTGACATTTTCCACAGTTGCTTTAAATGGAATTTTTCTTTCTATCTCTTCTGTTACACTTTTAGTAATTTGTAGAAATGCATTTATGGAGACTTTCTTCTTGGAAACTGAGAGGAGCTCCAAGAACAGGGCAAGACCCAAATCAGAGGCATCAAAAAGAATCATGGCCTCATATCTTACTTCAAGTATTTCAGAAGAGCTGATATGCTCTAACTGCCTAGATTTCTTCACAAATGCCATGTCTATAGAAGGTGGTCACCATTTCTGCAAAGACTGTATCCTCCACTATATTTATTCAGCTAATGGGAACAGTTTTAAATGTCCTGTATGCCAGAAAGCTCATTTTATCAAGAACCTGGCCCAACCAACAACTGTCCACCATAGCACAGTCCTTCAGACTGCTCCAGCCTCACTTGAGGAGGAGCCTGAATCAGAAAAAAGTAGTCAAAACAAAATTCCATGAGGAAATCAATCTGGATCCTGAAACTGCTCATCCTGGAATCATCATATCCTCAGATATGAAAACAATGAGAGAAAGAGATTCATGGAAGGAATTGCATTGTACTGTGGAGAGATCTGATCTATGTGATCCAGTTCTAGCAACTCAGAGCTTCAAGTCTGGAAGACGCTATT